TTGTTTTATGTTTCATAAGCTAAGAAAACTACTCTCCCAGGGAGCAGCAACATAGAACTTCCAAATATTTGCACTGATAGGAAAGAAAACATGGAAACTATTATCAAAATAACACTGTTTCTTTTTATATTCAGTGCCATTGACAAATAATTGAGGCATCAAAGCCTGGTTAGTGTGTCTCTATCTGCAGTACAGGTGCCAGAGGTGGTGACATGCCAGAGCTCTGAAGGAGACACAGCGCACTCCTTCCAAACATACTCACACATGTGCCTTCTTCCTGGCCCAGGGTGTTACCAGAAAAGCTTTCTCCTATTACCATAATAATGGATTGGCTTGAAGCCTGAATGTGGCATTGAGAAACATAATTTCATATATCTGTATACTTAAAAAAATAATAATAATTTTTTTTTATTTGGGACCACATTTGTTAGTGTTCTGGACTTATTCTTGGCTCTGGATCCTAGGGACCAGATGGGATACCAAAGATAAAACCCAGGTCAGCCACGTGCTAGACAAGTTCCCTACCCTCTGCTCAAGACCCAAATATGATTTTTTGGGTGGGGGCACACCTTGTGGTGTTCAGGGATAACACCCATCTCTGTATTTAGGGATCATTCCTGGTGGTACTAGAGGAACCCATATGGGGAACCGAGGCCACCTGGGTTGGCCACTTGCAAGGCAAACACTTAACCCTCTGTACTATTTTGCCGACCCAGTAAATATGTTTGTAATTTAAAAACAAGTATATACTATATATTCTTTAAACATAATATATGCTATATGTCTACTTTTAGTATAAAAGGTAAAGGCCCTCCCGTTGATCGTCGATTTGCTCGAGCGGGCCCAGTAACGTCTCCATTGGAGACTTTGTTGTTACTGTGTCTGGCATATCCAATACTCTCGGTAGCTTGCCGGGCTCTCCGAGAGGGGCGGTGGCCGAGTGGTTAAGGCGATGGACTTTTAGTATAAGCAAAATTAATTTATTCCAATATTTGTTGAGCATCTGCTCTGTGCAAAGCATAATGATCAGCTATTTTGTATCACATACAGTGCAATGCAAATTATCTAGGAATTTATAATGTACTGTCAGGATAAAATACTTGTAAAGTCAATCATTTCACACTAGATTAATTGGCATAAAGCCACATGATAGGTTTTCTTCTCTCCTCATAAGACAGCAAGATCATTGAGGGTAAGAATTGATGTGAATGTTAAGATTTACCCCTGGAGTCCACAGTCAAAGGGTTCTGCTAGACAGAAGTGGAAAAGCTTTTCTAGGCTTTAGAAACAAAAGTTGATTCTAACAGTTATGATTGTGCTCTGGGCGGTGGGTTGGGTCACCACTCAGAAATGACTAAAAAGATTTTCTAGAAGGTTTGGACTCTCAAAGCAGTGTTGAAATAAGGAGCTAAATGAAATTGGAAACCATCCCAATGAGTCAGCAGGAAGATAAATCACATTTTGGATACTTTTAATTGTGTATATGTTTTTAAATATCAGTTTCCTGAATGTTCGCACCAACACTCTTTTTCTCAGCCCTTTGGAAGAATTTCTGGGCACAGTTTATTTTTATGGTTGGATAAGATGATAATATGTAGTTTGGGGCAAATTATTCACAATACTATTTTCTGCAGCTAGAAGTGCCAAATCTAATTAAATCTGCCACCAAAAATTTGTGTATTTAAAGAATTGCCTTTTACTCTGTTAAAAAAAAAACCCATTACTTTCTAAAGATACTAGAGGGGTAGGTAGTGTTTAGGAATCAATTAGTGCCAAGCCTTAGATATAATTAAGTTAAGCACAATATATGCGATATATCTTTGATAATGAATTTGCTACATGAAGTATGTGTGATATTGTACATCTTCTAATTTGAATGATTATTAAAAGTGCCCACATTATTTGAAGGGTTTCTTTCTTGATTTCTCTTTTGTCACCCAGCACATTGTTTGAAAACAATTTGGGATAGTGATTGAATTAAGCCCACTTCAGAGAGAGTGATTGTTTTAATTTAAAATGTTGGGTATTTTTCTCCCTATGGAGGATCTGAAGGCAAAGTTAATGATTTGCATTTCTTTCACTTTTGAATGTTGAAGATAATATATTGTGAAACATATTTTTAAGTACATTCACATTAGCTTTCATTGCTTCTATTTTGATTTGATGTCACTTGCCATCCCGTTTATCTTTGATTTGCTCGAGCAGGCATCATTAATGTTTCCATTCGTTCCTGTCACATGCTAGGTGTAGCCCAATGGTATCGGCTCGCTCCAGGAACACGAAGAGCCTCAAACTGTTTGTTAAAGGTTTTAACAAAGAAGTCTGACCATCTCATAGGTGGGCGTTCATGTCCACTTTGGAGTGACTTTGGACTCCAGGCTCAATGGGACCTGGAAACATAATTTGTCATAGAGCATAGATACTATGGGGTTTCACACAAGGAGTGTCCATGAAACATTTTTAGTAAAATGTGCAGGAAGAGTAATTTAAAAATATAAAGAATAGACAGGAGGAAAATTAGAATCAAGACAGGTTAAATTTTCATGTTACACAGAATAGATATTCTGAATGCTTTTGGAAAAGAATCAAAAACTCTTGCAATTTTAGGAGTTGCAAATATTTGTCACTCTTTTTCTGCCTTATAGTAACATAGGTATGTGACTTCAAATATTTATTTATCATTCAATTATTAATTGGAAGTCAAGTTGTAGGAGTTTTGGAGCTTGCAGTGCTTAGAACAAAACATCCTTATTTTTGAAGGATATATGTTAATCACCAAAAGTTGTCACCATCCTTTATCCTCATCTGTAAGATGAAAGCAAAGAACATTTACCACTACTGAAGTTACATATTTCCCAGATGTAATACTGTGGGAATAATAATGTAATAATAATATAATACTCATTTAGAAGTTAGTCTGAAGTGTCTTTTTTCAATTAAGAAATCATAGTGGGCACATTACAGATATCTTAACATTTTCAAACTCCTTTTTCTGATTCTTTCTAGTTACAAATGGGTCCTCGTTGTTTTCCTTACTTACCTTTCTGTTTTTAATCCCTGTCTCTCCTATTTCCATAATGTTTGATTTTGCTTCTTTTTTCTTTAGGTAGCACCATTCATTTATACCTTCTTTACTGCATCTTATTCCATTTAACTATCATAACTTCCATTAAATTAAAAAAATATCACTTTTACCTATACTTAACCAGATGCACACAGACTTCACAGAGAACTAGAACCCTCACTAGTAACAAGAACCAAGAACCAGAGTGTCTGTATTAGCCCCGCGAATTACGGGCCTTCCTGACCTTCCCCAGGAGCTTCAAGAATCTCAGTAGCATTTGAGCCTGAGGGTCCATGCAGTGCGCGAGTGTCCCCAGACCTTTCTCTCCTACTAGCGTTGCTTCATTATCTCACCAACTGCCATGAGTTGGGTGAATGGGAACAGGAGCACTGTGTGAACATAAACTGGGGAAGCCCGAGTTGCTGGCCTGCTGGTGCCAGTGACCACAGAGGATGGGGGGAGAATGTGAAGGTGGCTTCTGGGGGAATTAGCAGCTCTATAGGTGGAGTTATAAAACACAAGCAGGATTCACGTGGCACTGACCTGAGGGGACTGATGATGCTGATAGAAATGGCGAAGTTGGAGCAGCGGGATGGGCACTACCTTTGGCTGGAAATGCTGGAGATGAAAATAAAATGATGATATTGGAATAAGTATAAATGTCGTTGTGTTTTCCTCTTCGCGAATGCGGGTGGTTGTGAGTGTTCCAGGGTTCTGGGCTTCGCTCATCTCTGCTGTCTGGTTGGGTGTTTAGAGAGGTCAGTTGCCATGGCCAGGATCATGATGTGCATGACACATCTTGTCAGGAAACAGGAGTGGTCTTGGAAAGTCTACGTGCATTATGTGCTTTCCAAGTACTGGACATGTGTGCAGTGATTATTTCCATTTCTGTTGCTGGAGTGGTTATCTTTCCCAGGAGCCCTCCGACGAGATACCTGTTACCGTGTAGTTTTTTTCTGTTGTGATGAGCTTCCACTGTCCCCCACCCCTATGAGCCCCCCAAATCGACAGTGACTAGTTTATTCTCGTTGTGGTTGGGTTGCATAAATTAGTGGGGTTATTTTGAGCGTGGTCTGACTTGGGGCCTTGGTGCAACCCTCAGTCTAGATTTGTGTGGAGCCTCACCCTGAGTTCAGGAAGTGTTCTCCTTTTCCTTTGACTCCCGCATAAAGATAAAATCTTTGCAGTGCACAGATGTCTTCTTTCCTATTAGAATGTCCCTTCCACACAGAGGAGGCGTTCTCTACTTTTTCTAAGCAATTTTATAAAATCATTACTGATAAAATCTCATCTTATATCAATACTGGTGTTTTAAATTAGAAGTTATTTCTCAAACTAAGTAAAAATAATAATCAAAAAGACTTTTATCATGTTCTTTTGGGGGGACGAGTTGGTGTGGGGGCCACGCTGAGCTCAGGGCTTACTTCCAACTCTGCAGTCCATAATCACTTCTGGAAGACTCCGGGAACCATATGGAATGCTAAGGATTAAGTCCATGTTGGTTGCATATGCCTTACCCACTGTACCATCATTTCAGCCCCTGTTCATGTTTTCTTAAAGTCAGAACTTTGCACAGCTCTGATACTGTCATCCTGGGGATATTTCTCTAAACTATTACACTCATTATTGGTTATGATTTAACCAACAAGTTAAAAATGAATCTATAATTTGACTAGATCTTGAAATACACACACACAAACACACACACATGAGTTTTATAAAATGACCTATTTGGGGCAAATTACAATTGCAGCTCACAGGGCATTTTCTTCACCTTTTTATAGTCTACTCCAGGTTTGATACCACACAGAGAAACCTGGGAGATGCTGAATAAAAGTTGTGACTTGTGTTAAATGCCCTTACTGCTGCGAAAGAAAGAGAAGAAACATTTCTTATGGCGCATGTGGGGCTGATGACAATTGTGTTTGCTTTTCAGATCCCCAGCTCAAGGGAATAGTGACCAGGTTATATTGCAGACAAGGCTACTACTTGCAAATGCACCCGGATGGAGCTCTCGATGGGACCAAGGATGACAGCACTAACTCGAGTAAGTGTGGGCCGCAGGCCACCAGTGAACACAGTTCACTCAAGACACACGGCTTCCTTGCCTTTTAAAAGGACATTTGCAATGATTTGGTTATGTTGGTTCATGAATACAAATATCACACACTCAAATGCCATTTAGAATTTGACTCAGACCATGTTTGTTATTAATACAGCAACCAAAGGATCCATCATTTGAGACCATTACAATTTCATATTTTCAGACAGCTGTAACATCCAGCTGAATCTTCATATCATTATCATAAGCTCCAAGTAAATGCCCTTGTGTGTTCGTTCACATTGATTGCATGTTTACCTTGGGTGCATTAGTTTTTAAGCAGCTTTTGAGCTTTGTTCTGGTTATTGGAGAAATTTAAGAGCTAGTGATTTTAATTGTTTTAATTAATGGGAATAACAAATGTTCAGATTTTTTGGATTCAGGAAAAAGGCAGCATCTATCTTCATAAGAGAGCCTTGAGACCATGTATCAATACGGACACAGAGCCAAATGTTTACTTTATAGAACTGGGTTGGTGATAAATTTAAATAAAAAAAATACCTTCCAGTTCATTATTGTCTCTCTGTAGTTCACCATTTCTTTAAATATAACATTTTGTGTTTTCATGCTGATGCTATTCTTATTCAATTGCCTGTTTTCCTTTACCATTTTTTTGCTTTGTTTTGCTTCTTGGGGCTCCATCTTCCAATGCCCAAGGTCAATCCCAGTTCTGTACTTGGAGATCACTCCTTGTGGTGACAAAGGAAAATGGGGTGTCCAGGATCAAAACCAGACCTTCAATATGCAAAGTATAAGCTTGATGAGCTATCTCTCCTGCCCTTCTTTCCAACTCTGAATATACTGGTTCCTTTTAAATCATCATATCAACTTCAAAGTAGACATGCTTTTTACAGCTTCAGAATTGTAAGGTTGTGGAACACAAAACCTGATTTTATTAGAAATCTTCAGCTGTAGAGCATCATTCAACAAAAAGAAAGGGATTATAGGAATAGATGCCACAAAACTATAAACAATTTTACTTTAGCTATTTGCTTAGTAATATATTTTTAATGGCATATGACATTAATAAGAATATTGATTCTCAGAGAAGTTAATGGTATTAAGTAGACAATTTGGCAGTGCTATGTGAGATATGTCAATAATATTTGTTAAATATTTTGATTGAATACTGCTCCAATTTAAGGTTTTCTTTCCAATGTTTAATTTTGTTGATCTTAATTTTCTATAATTGAAAAATGTTGATTTCTAATATCCTACTTTTGTGTCCATTTTATTATTCTCTTATACTTTAACATTTTTCCTTATTATACTTTCTTACTGATTTATTTTATACCATTCCTTCTTTTGATTTTTTTGGAGGAAAGGTAAAGGAATTCAGAACCAGGGAAGGGGGGAGAAAAGCATTTTTATTTATAAGTTCAAGGTCAAACATTGTTTGCTTAGGATTTTTCTCTGAGGGTGAACCACTTCAAGTCATTAGTTAAAACCATTTTTTCCTTACATAAGATGCCAATTTCCTCTGGCTCAGATTAGGAGGTATACATCTGCTCATGTTTCTTTCCTCATCCTTAACTTTGTACTAATTTTCTCACAAGGCATTCTCTCTAACTTAGTTCACCACTTGTCAGGGATATGAACTAGAGACAGTCTTATGTTCTTATCTTTGTATTATCTTATTTTTCTTTGGCCAGAGTCTGTAAGATCATGAGAATATGTTTATTATACTGTGTCACTCTGAGAGTTATGACTGATAAACCAGACTCCAGACTGCTGTCACCCATTGTGACAAAAATTTCAAGCAAGGGGAATAAAATATAGCTGTCCCCAAATGCAGATTAGTGTGACTTCTTGAAAAAAATGTTCTTTAAAATAATATTTTATGCCACACTGGACCCCACACCAGGCTGTTTCAGTTGGGGAACCTTGGAAGGGGGTGGGTGAGGCTCCTCCCTGACCCAAGGGACTCAGCCTTGACAGCTGAAAATCTCCAGAACTCAACCGTTGCCCTGCTCATGGCTGTTCTTCATATGCTTGGGCTGAGTCTCACCTAAGAGTGACCTTTCTCATACCTCACACCACTAATATTCTAAGAGTAACATACCATATTTGGTAGGGTTTAAAGCAGGAGGCAACCAATCTTAGAGGGGACTATATTTTCACAAAGATATATATATATTATATAACATAATACATATATATATATATATGTATATAAACACAACCATGCAAGCAAGCCGGGTTCCAAAGAGGATTCAGCATGATCTACCATATCCACACAATAACCAAGCTCATTGATGTTTCTCAGGAATTCAAGATGCCGCTCTGTCTAAAGTTCATTGATTTAAAGAAGGTCTTTGATTCTGTTGAGACGGAAGCTGTCATCAAAGCCCTAGCCAATCAGGGCGTTCAAACTCAATACATCTGTATTCTCCGTGAGCTGTATTACAGATTCACTATCAGGATCTCACCATTCTACAAGGAAGTGATCATCCATGTCAAGAGAGGGGTTCAGCAGGGTAATACCATTTCACCGAAACTCTTCAGTGCCACCCTCGAGAATGTCATGCAACGACTGGAATGGGAAGAAATGGGAGTGAAGATAGTTGGTCGGCAACTACACCACCTCCGCTTTGCTTCTAATAACACCAAACATCAGCCAAGCAACACAAATGCTGACCAACTTCCACTGTGAGTGTGGAAAGGTCAGATTACAGCTGAATCTCACAAGGACAATGTTCATGAGAAACAGTCTTGTTCCTGACGTTCCATTCACTCTCAACGGAATGACCATCTCCGAATGCAACAGTTATGTTTACCTAGGTCGAGAAGTCAACACAACGAGTGACCTGGCACCTGAGTTGCGCAGGAGGAAGAGAGCGGCTTGGAACACCTTCAAGGGCATCCAAGAAACAACTAAGAGGACAAAGAACCTCCAGCTCCAAGCATATCTCTTCGATTCCACTGTTCTTCCTGCATTAACATATGTCTCAGAGACCTGGGCCCGACGAAACAGGATGAGAATGCTATTCAGATCTCTCAAAGAGGAATCGAAAGAACTATGCTTGGAGTATCACGCTTCACTCAAATGAGAGAGACCTCCGTCAACACTCAAGAAACAGGGATGCTGTCTCATTTGCCGAGGCATCGAAAATTATATGGGCTGGACATGTAATGAGATTTAGAGAAGACCGCTGGACTAGAGCCATTACTGACTGGATTCCACGGGATGTCAAAAGATTGTGTGGTCAGATGGTCAGACTTCTTCATCAAGACCTTGACCGATCAGTTTGAGGCTCTTCATGTTCCTAGAACGAGCAGATGCCATTGGGCTACACTAGCACACAACAGGGATGAATTGAGACGTTACTGGTGCCCATTCGAGCAAATTGATGAGTAACGAGATATCAAGTGATCAAGTATATAAACACAGAAGGATCAATCTTCAACAATATGTTAGTAATCTCTAGAAGAGCTTAATGATCTCTGGGTGAAATACAACCATCTTCACACACTCTCCTCTCCTCTAAGGAAACTGTTTTGGATCACTTTCAGACGTTTATTCATAATAAACAATACAAAATGAATTTTGGTTCTGCTTTGGGGCAAGGGTTGGGGAACAGGATGGTAACATCCCAAAGATGGTGGTGGGAAGGTGCAATGGTGGTGGGATAGGTGTTTTAATATTAAACATAATCAAATATTGTGAACTACTTTATAAAAATAAATAATTTGTAAAAGAAGCTATAGTGATAGCACAGTGGTAGGGCATTCGCCTTGCATGCAACCGGCCTGGCCGAGCTGGATTTGATTCCTCCACCCCTCTTGGAGAGCCCGGCAAGATACCAAGAGTATCTCGCCTGCACAGCAAGGCCTGGCAAGCTACCTGTGACGTATTCGATATGACAAACACAGTAACAACAAGTCTCATGATGAAGACATTACTGGGCCCGCTAGAGCAAATTGATGAACAACGGGGGGACTGTGACCATGTAAAAGAAAGAAAAGAAGAAAATGAAAATTAATCTAATTCTAAGATTTTAAAATATCATGGCTTATGGAATTTTTCTTCAATTTTCCCCTTCATGTATATATTTTCTTTTTGGTGGTAGTAGGGGATACACCACTACTTTTGGTGCTCATGGGATACTCCTGGATTTGGTGTTCATGGGATACTCAGGGCTCATACTAGTAGTACCAGGAAAGCATGCAGAGCCAGGGACTCAATGAGGATCCCACATGCAAAGAATGTGCTCAGCCCTTTGACCCATTTGTTTGGCCATTCCCCAAGTTTTTCTTTAATTCTCTGGTTATGTATGTAGCAGTTAGTTAAGATGTGTTAAGTAGAGACTGCCTTTGAAAGGCACATTGTCTCAGAGTTGAATAAACAAGACAGTATTTTCTAAGATATCAAACTGTAGATGTGGATGTTTTATGCATACACATATGATTATGTTTGTCTGAGCAGTATTCATCATGCACTGGAAAGCTGAGATACCCAAAGGTGCTCGACTTTCTGTTCTCTAAATGTATGGTCCCTTGTGAAACTGTCAGGAATGATTCCTGAGAATAGGGCCAGGAGAAAGTCAGGAGCTCAGAGCAACTACATGTGGGGAGTTACCAACTACACAACTACACAAACATAAGTGGGGAGAGGGGAGGGCTGGAAGGAAGTGTCTGAAGGGTAGAATACTCATGGATGGATGGTACACATAGATATACAATTATAACCCAGCCATACACCTCAAGCATTTGCACATGAATCAGAAATTATAAATAATGGTGTCTATTCTTTCAAAATATAAAGGGAGAATATGTCAGGTGTTCTAGACAAGAGTGAAAATAGCCAATGGCCTTCTCCCACATTAAGAGAATACTGAATTAAGGTAGCACAAGTATCTCATAATACTCATCCCCTCCTTATACAGAAATAGACAAATATAAGCTTCACGCTTCCAAAACAATAGCCCAAATTCCCAGAATCTCGGGGAGCACAGTCTTATGGGAAGGTTGCATTGTCAAAGTGAATATCCATCTACCCAAGTCCTTGAGTTCTTTCTGGAGATTGTTATACAAAGCAGTGGCCAGCCATTGTCACAATTTGTGTAGCATTAGAACTTAAGATCTTGGGATCAGCAGCATGAAATATTTCAGAGAGAGGGTGCTATTTCCTCCACCTTAGGGAAAAGAAATATGTCTGCAAATTAAATAGAACACAAATTATCAAAACCATTGGAATTACAGAATAGACTCATAGATCAAAATAAAATCCCACCCCACCTTTTTGAAATTCTTTCTGCATTGTGGAATTCAAGTGCAGACCTAACCCTATATTAACTATTGACACATCTGATACTTCCAATGTCTTTTCTGACCTAGCTCCATTACTTCAAATAAGACCGGATCTATCGAGAACATGGAGTGGATGGCATTGCTGTGGCGAATTAACTCCTTTAAATATACCTTTAATACAATCTACACAATATTCAAGCATATATCACTAGGTACAATGCCTCATCACCGCTGAACAATTAACATGGAACACTGACTTGAAAATGAATTAAAGAGATATCAATAACATTTAAAAATCAATTATTGGGTCAGAGAGATAATACTGCGGATTACCTTGCACACTGCTGATCCAAATTTAATCCACAGCACTGCATACAGTCTTCTGAGCACTGCTAGGAGTGATTCTTGAGCACAGATACAGGAATAAGCCTGAAGCACTACCAGGTATGGCCCCAACGCCAAAACAAAATTTTTTTTAAAAAAATCAATGATAGTATTGCTTTCTACACTCTTCCTAAAATAATAAGGAAGAAATACAATATAGAAACAAATGAGTTTCTATCTCAACATTGGGCAAATTAAGTAACTTGCCCTCTTCTATTTTAGTTTTTGCTCCTAGTTTTATGAAATATTAATAAAGAAAATAATCCTCAAATTTGCTTGCTATTCAGCTTAATTAATTCATTCTAAATTTAGCACATTGGCAGGTGCACCTGCTTTGTGGTGGCTTTGCCTGCATAGCATGCTGCTTCCACAGGAGTAATTTTGTTTGGGACATTTAACTTCCAGCCTCCACAATGTTGCAACGTAGAGCACAGCAGCATCCCTTGCTGGTGACAGACAGAATCTACAGGCAAACGGGACTTCTGACATGCTGTTCTTTGAGAGTCCTCACGGCTGATTTCACTGCATAGCATGTGAAGTCAGAGCTTGTAGCATCAGCACCCTGTTGCAGGGTCCTGTTTATTACCACCACTCTCTCCACACAGCACTGCAGGAGGACCGAGGAGCTCTGCAGAGCCAAGTCCAGGGCTCGGAGAAGAAACCTCTTAATTATAAAGAGAAATAAAAGGAAATTAAATTAACTGGAACTTCCCAAGAGGTTGTAGCAAATATGGTGTTTACTGAATAAAAGAAAAGAGAAAGAGAGAGCGAGATAGGGAGAGAGAGAGGGAGGGAGAAAGACAGGGAGAGAGAGCATAGAAAGAGTGAGAGAGAGCAAGGGAGAGAGCAAGACAGAGATTGGGAGAGAGGAAGAGAGAGAATAAGCATGAGAGGGAGAGGGAGAGGGAGAGAGGGGTTGGTGCTTCCCTCTGCACTCACGACTGACTTCCTTTTCTCTTTACAGCACTGTTCAACCTCATACCGGTGGGACTTCGTGTTGTTGCCATCCAGGGCGTGAAGACAGGGTTGTATATAGCCATGAATGGAGAAGGTTACCTCTACCCATCAGTAAGTCACATGGTACCAATATTGACTGTGCACCCAATGTTCATTGAGTGAGCATTGCAGAGAGGCCGGAGTGAAGATGGTCTGTGACTCTCCAGTCATCCTATTTTTTTCTTTCAAAAAAGATTTGATCTTTTATGAAGGAAATACTTGTTCATTATTCATCAAAGTGTCATAATATTCCTAGGTTGTACAAAAGAGAAATACTACATCTTGGAACTGTGAGTTTGCTAAATATAATTTGTTTTATATTTTGGGCTATATACAGTGTTACTTAGTCATTACTCTTGGAAGGGCTCTAAGGACTATATAGGGTGCTGGAGATGAACCCAGGTTGTCCACATTGATTGATTGAACCTAGGCTTGGCAAGTGCCCTACCCATTGTACTATCTCTTTGGTTCCCATTTGCTCTATTTTTAAGTGAACCAGTTCACAGAAAAATAAGAAATTTTGAAGGAGTCGATGTTAGTATTATTGTTTAATTTCAATTTACAAATGTGTTTCTTTTAGAGATTATTTTTATTTAAACAGTTGTTTTTATTAAAAAATGATGTTTTAAATAAGAACAATCATTTTTATAAAAAATCTGGACACTAAAATAGCCGAAGTAAGTTCAAATAATCTAAATTGTGCAAATATTCTGCAAAGAAAATTTCTATACTTTAATTTAAATCTAAGTAAATCTTTAGCTTATGTTAAGTCATATTAGAACATAGTTCATGTTAAGTTATATTATAATACTCTTCTTGTTATATAGCCTTTTTTGGGAACTTCTACTGTATATAAATGATTTACAGTCATCATGTATGGTAGAAATATATTATGATACATTTGATTTAATTTCTGGCATGATTTCAGGCAAATGAAACTTATACAAGAGTAGTTCTCACCTTTACAACCTGGAGCAAAAGTGAATGACTGAAGTTAATTTTCCTCAAAGGAAAACTCCCTCATTTGGTTTTGAGTATGGTCTTCATTGTAGTTTTTTCAAGCTTTCGGTTGCTAATTATCATCAATGTTAAGAACTGTATCTAAGCTTGCGCACAGCACACTCCCCTCCAAAAAAAACAACTATAAAGCAGAAACCAAAGCATTTGGGGTTTCCCAGGGAATGTGCTGAGTTTCTTTAGCAAATCAGGAAAATCCTGCTGGAAGGAAATTACTGGTGAGCTGTAGAGTCAGTCCCTTTGGGGAGAGCCCAATAATGCAGGCCTTGTGATTTTGGAAGCTTCAGCTGAATTCCCAGAAGGCTGTTTCTTCATACAGACGTGGATCCTACACGATGCAAATGATGCTCTGTTACATGAGATGAATATGCAGCTAGTAGCAGCCCCCCCACCCCAGGTCAGCCTTCCTGTTGGCCCCTAGGGCACAATCCTGTCAGAGAGATGATTTTCTAGAGATGCCTTAATTCTAATTCAAGTTACTTAGATTGATTTGATGTTTCTTCTGTTGTTTTTGTTTCTTTCTATTCCCCCGTCATCTCTGGCATGTCTGAAAATTATTACTGGAAGCTTACAGCCTGCAGTTATGTTTTTGAGTTTATCTTGTTTCTGTCCTCAGGTGGATGAGTGGATGTCAGGAGAAAGAGAAGTCATTATCTTGTTTGCTACAGAGAGACATGATTTATAATTTTTTCTATGAGAAGATCACAATGTGTGCTTTAAGATATTTTTTCTTGAAGTTAATTTTCATGAACTTAACTTTTAAGTTGAGCGTGATCTGAGACATATTTTTTCTTTTTCTTTTTTAAAAAAATTTTATTTATTTTTTTATTTTTATTAGTAAGACACCATGAGGTACAGTTGTAGACTTACAAATTTTTGTGCCTGGGTTTCAATTATACAATGATCAAATACCCATCTCTCCACCAGTGCCCATTTCCCACCACCACAGATCCCAGTATCCCTCCCACCCCCCATCTCCCCCCATCCCACCCTGCCTCTGTGGCAGGGCATTCCCTTTTCTTCTCTCTATCTTATTGGGTGTTGTAGCTTTCAAAAAAGGCAATGGGCGACAATCAGGTTTGGTCTATGGTCTAATTTCAGCATGCTTCATTTTTCTTTTATCATGCTTTAGCTAACAGGGCTATAATCATGTTGAAGTTTTTGGTGTTGATGTGCAAACTTGAGTGTGTGTCTTAGTCTCCAGTGTAAGGACTGGGTTTGGGGATAACATCTAACCAGTGTGGCATGGCACGGACAAGAGAAAGAGCCACCAAAAGCCTGATATATCCTTGGTAGCTTAAGCATTTCCATCCTTTCAGAAAGTCAGGTCTCAGGGACAGGAGAGGGCTCTAGCTTCTGTGCCAAAGAGAACTTGAGTCTTACCCCAAACCAGTGTTAGCATTCATGCCCTTTCTAGGCACTTGACTGTAAGGCCCCCTTTTGTGCATTGATTCTCTGAGTTATAGATCTGTTTTCTTCTCTTTTCAATTTTTTAAATAACCTTCCTTCAGATCTGGTAAAAGGCATTCCAACCAGCATGTCCCTTAAGGCGATCCTGCTTCCAAATTGCTCTCTGCCCAATGCTGATACCTTGTAGGAAAGGCACTTAGGAATGAAACGAATTCTCAGTTTTCCCTGATGCTCCATAGTAAAGTGGTCTGTTTATTTCAATGTCATGAAGCGCAGACTTCCAATATTTCCTTTATTTTAAGGACTAGGAGAAGACTAGGAGAAGTCCTACCCCTATAGGACTTAGGGGTATGTGTTTTGCTTGCACTGGCCCCTGGTTTGATCACTGGAACTGCATTGCCCCTGAGGCCCTCCAAGGATGGCCCTGGCAATGCCTGGTTTCTGCAGGGCTAGAGAACACAGTATTCTTGGACCTTAGCTTTGAAGTGCCCAGTTTGATTTGCTGAATTATCCCTGGGAATGGTCCCAGTTCTCCTGAGCATTTTTTGGGAGCATTTTACCTCTGAAAATATTTTTTTAAAAAAAGAAATGTTTTTTTTCCACATTTAGTTCTTTATTCCATAATTAGTTGCTAAGAGCCCACTAAAAGAATAATGTAGCACAGCATGGTATAACAATTATTACACCATATAATAATAGCTCTACTTACATAGGAATAATGATGGTTTTATTTATTTGGTATATTCTGTCTGGCACTGCTCTATTAGCCTTAGCTCATTTTATTCTCACAGCAATCTTATTAAGCAAATGCCATTAAAATGAGCAGACTTATGTACAGAGTGTTTAAGAATCTGTGCAAAATCACCCAGGTAGTAAATAGAAAAGACAGGACTTGAGCATTATTAGTCTGACTCAATAATGTGATTTTTTTTAACTTCTCAGTATGCTGCATCCATGTGCCAGACATTGTTCATAATATGGTCTGGCGCCTGTTCTAACAAGAAGTTAGATACACATGATGATGTAATGAAAACCTTAAAAAGAATATCACAAAGGGGGAAAATCCTTCGTTCGGAGGAAATCATTAAGATGTATAGTTTGAAAGATATTTTCTTTGGTGATTATGAAAGAAAATTAAAGATAAATGGTGGGAGTAATTGAAGTATCAAACCAAAAATGTTTACCTGAGATAAACATTGTATAAAATTGGGGACATAGATAGCACAGCAGATAGGGAAATTTTCCTTGGTATGTATCTGAACCTGATTTTATCCTGTACATACCCAGAAACACTATCAGAAGTGATTACTGAGTGCAGAGCCAGGAGTAATCCCTGAGCATTGCTTGGTGTGGTCCAAACCCTCCTCCCATTTGTAAAATTATATTTGTCTGGGAAATGTTAGATATTACATATTAGGAGTTTAAATTCTCAAGTTTTATTACACATGTCATTGAATTTTCCCATTTTAAAAGTCAGAGCAATCTTAATTATTCCTAGCAAGGAATTTTTATCTAAATTGAGTAGAATATTTAAAATCTTACTTATTTTTTTCTTCAAAATTTTATTTTATTAAAGCACCGTGAATCACAGTTATTCATAGTTGGGCTTCTGACATAGTCTTCCATTACCAGTCCTGCCACCCAGTATCAACTTCCCTCCATCTGTGTTCCCAGGGTCCCTCTACGACTGTCCCCCATCCCAGTCCAGTTTGCCATCTTGACAGGCACCTTTTAAATTTGGTTATTAAAGTTTGGGCCTGCCTCATGATTTCAGTGTTGTTGACTTTGTGGAAAGTTGAGTAAAATTTTTCACAAGAGAAGCTTCCAGTAAAGCTCTGATTTAAAGAAAAAGAATTAGCAAGAATTTAAGTAGGAAATGAAGGAATGCATTTTAAGCTTATGTACACATTACAAATATCAACCTCATGTTTGCATTGTGTAGTGTCTTACCTGGGACCAATTATATTGATGATCAATAGAGATGGAAACAGGCAATAAAATGCTGCTATGGTCAAAGTGAAGTCTGTTAAATTAAATTTGTGATTTTCCTCAGAGTGCATATTACCCAGCTTATATTTTAAGACATCACTCTCACAATCTCTTGGAATCCACATAAAGATGCTTCAGATGTCAGTTAATTCTACCTTGGGGTAAAAGAAAAGATTTGTCTTGATTGAGAAGTAAATAGTAACATTTCAGATACTGAAGAAGCTGGTTCCCTGTAAAACCTGTGTTCAGTGGGACAACATTCATTTCTTTTGTGGCCACAGTGATTATATACAACATGTTACTTAAAGCTGTACCTCAAGAGCTTTGTGTCAGATAGTTTTCTCAAAAGTGGAAAGCCAAAGGCTGGTGACAGAACACAAAATGAACAAGGAAACACTTTGTTTAAAGGATTAATTTGAAATGGTGCTTAGGATGCAATCATTTTGGGCAGTTTTTTTTTAATTTTATTGAATCACTGTGAGATAGACACTTGCAGAGCTGTTCATGATTGGGTTTCAGTAACACAGTATTCCAACAACCATCCCTCCAATACCCATCCCTCCAACACCCATCCCTTCACCAGTGTCCCCAGGTTTCCTTCCATCACCCCACCTCCACCCCCCCCCCAGCCTGCCTCTATAGTAGGGGCTTTTCTT